CATGGCTGGCTGGGGAATTCTGGAAGTTGAAGTCCACATATCTTAAAGTTGCCAAGGTTGAAAAACACTGGCGTAGTGCGACGTAGAATTTGGGCATCTGTTGCCACTTCATTCTTTCCCACATTCTGACGTCAGCATGGGTTTTCCATAGTACAGATGTCTGAATCGGTTCTCTTCTGAGGATCCCCTCAAAAGATCTCTTCTGAAGGTTCCCCTCTGACACAGACTTCAGGAAGGGGACGCTGAGAACGAATAACCCCCCCAGTTCAGACAAGGTCATGTTCCTTCTATGGGTGTCAACATCTGGCAAGTCCTACTGTATTTATCATAAAGAGGAAAGAAAAGTAGGTTGTAAAGAACAGTAAGTTCTGCCTTAAGCTTGCTAGTTTACTCACAGATGAAGTCCCGATCCTGCCTTCATTGTCCGAAGCTTGCACCATGAGGAAGTGCATTTGATTTTCTTCATAGTCTAATCGCTTTGTGTTCCTCAAAATGCCCGACCGGGGATGAATTAAAAGTAAGTCTGCAACACCTTCGCTGCTTTCTCCATACAAAATTGAGTAAGATATTCCAGTGGAAGGTAAATCCTCATCAGTTGCAAGTACTCCTCCAATAGAGGACCGAGCTGAAGTGAAATAGCAGCACATTAAGAAGCCACACAAGCCGTTTTGTGGGTGTGTGGGGTGTGCAGAGGTTGTACAGACTTCAAAAACGATTCAGAAACAGTGTTTCAGACCAGGGGTCAAAAAAGTCAAGATGGCAGCTACCTCTCTGTGTCAAATCCCCACCCCTTTTTAAGATGAATCTGAAGTATGTAACAAAGGGGCATGGCTTCAGTCACATGGTCATGGCCACCTTTTTGACTTTTTCGACAACTTCCATGGACACCCTGCTTCAGATTGTAGACAGTTTCAGCAATTCTCTGCTATTCATTAAAATACCCCAAGGTATTTTGGGCTCCTGTGGAAGCCTGACAAAAGAAATTTTAAAAATCATTAAAGTTAATAGGGCTTCTAAAAAAACAGTCATTCTTTTTTTTCAGGATTGCATAGGGATCTCAAAAGTTGGGGTGCTTTAAGGAATAATAGGGAGGTGCTATGCTGGCCAATAGTATGTGGTATTTCTGAATCTCACAGCGTGTGTGTGTGTGCGTGAGCACGGGCACAATACTAATTATTATTTATTTAATTTCTGTACTGGACTAAACAGATGAAAATCAGCAACCCCTCACCACCGCCTATGAAAACCACTTTAAATCGATACGTGGGATTGAAATATCCAATCTTTATGAATCCTTACGGGTGTTTTTGACTTTCTTAAAGGCATGTGAAGTAGATCCCAGTATTTCTTCTACGTTCTTCTGTCTAGACATCAGAACCAGCTGCACAGAAAAGATACTAAAGAAGTTGTGAACGGAGAAACCAGAAGAATAAAGATGTCCTTTGGCTGAGACTTAGCTAAACTACTCTTAACTTTGATTGCTCTCCTCTTAAGCATCTTGAGAGGACTGGAGAGATAATTTAGCTCCTGATTTCAGGGGTATCCTGAGGGCCAAAAAAGTCAAGATGCAGCCACAATAATGTGATCGAAGCCTCACTCCCCTTTTGTAACCCACATAAAAGGGCAGGGCTTTGATTGCATGGATGTGGTTCCCATCTTGACTTTTTTGACACCCCCCCCCGGAGACCATACTGGCATATTTTCAAAATCTTTGCTGATTAAATTTTATTTATTGTAAGCTAATTCATGTTTTCCTTACAAAGTCAAGATGGGTGTTTTGGAAACAACACTACCATTTTCACCACAATTGCTATGTTCATGTAGTGATATCAGCAGATTTTGGTTTGTTTCATTGACATTCAGAAAGTTTAGAAAAACCTTAAAAAAATAAATGGGAGGGAATAGGTGTATTAAATTCTGAAGAGGGTTCAAACACTTAATTCGAATGGTTTCTTTGGTCTTAAAAAAGCATTTACAGTACAACTGTCTGCTTGGCTGATACAGAGAAGCTAATAGAATCAGCATTAATTTGAGAGGATTCCATTTTATAGCCCTGCAAATTTCTGAAAACGTCACCATAACTTACGTGGTTCTAATTCAGATACATTAAAAATGTACAAAGACCTACTGAAGACCGGATCAAACTCATTCTTTGGTTGAATTTTGATGTAAATGAAGATTAGCTCTGTAAATACAGCAAGTAAGAAAAACATGAAGGATGACACAGAACGACAAGCCCCATTTAAAGAGATCTCTTCTTCCAGAAAAAAAATGGGGCAAAAAGGGGGCAGGAAGGAAAGTTGATACTCACTAGAAAAGTAAGGCCAAGAAATATCCCGGATGACAGTATTCAGAATATATTGTCTCTGCACGCTCCCGCCTGTTTTATTTTCGAAGTCTACATTTCCTATGAGCTTAAAGGAACATGCTTTTATTTGACTGTGGCATTATTTTCCCTTTCTGTGATTTGTTATCACATTTTTCTATGACTTCTGACCTGCTCCAGAGGGATTTGTAGTCATAAGGGGCATGGCGATATAAATAATTTTTTTTTAAAAGCTGGCTTCATACACAATGCAGTTGTACAGAATTGTGTTCCATATAACTATGTCTCAAATACAAAAGTAACCTTGATTGATATTTATGGTTCTTCCTTAGGAATGTGGGATGTAGTAACTCTGCAATTCCCCTGAAATGTGTCAAGAGGCTCAAAGAGTCTAGGTTAGGTTAATCCTCAATGGAACAGGTTTTGGCTCCATCCTAAATAAATTGTTTGATTTTCCTTCTTAATACTAAAATGTCCTAGTCTTAAAGTTCCAATCTGGAGAAGGTTTTTGATAATGGTCTTGTTGAAATCAATGAGCACTTACATGTCTCCACATTAAATCTTGACCAGCTTTAATGCTACTTTGATGTGAAAGGTTTCCCCCCTTGCACTTCGTATGTTGATCACACTTGAAAAGGCACACCATTCTCCAAGTTTAAATAATATAAAGCAAGTAATTAGCAGACCTTAATTATTCCAGAGTGAGGAGGATCCTGGGTGAATTTATTACTTCCAACTCCAGACAGTTCAGTGAAGTTAAACAGGTAGTTTGGTGACTCAGTATCAATGTCTTCGCAATCATTCCGTAAATTGATAATTTCTAATCCAGGAGAATCCGTTTCAGAAATTATCCTCCTATTTAAGAAAAATAAATTAGCTATGGAATTTATTCCAGGTTTTCTGTTCTTTGCTTACCTTTCCTAAATGTCTAAAAGAAGTCCTCTTGTGTTAGAAATATCATTTTTCTGGGAGTATAATCACATCGGAAAAGGGATGAGACTGGGGCATCTGAAGAGGTCTTTTAATGATCTTTCATGGGCCTCAGAGGAAATTATTATCCTTTCTTTGCTGCTCTCCTTCCCACTTTTTAGCATCAATATAAACAGGGGTATCTGGGGGCGATGTCAAAAAAGTCAAGGTGGAGCCCACAACTATGTAGTCAAAGCCCTTGCAATGAACTGCAGAACATTTACAACTAAATGTGTGGTGTGGTATCAAGGAGTAGCATAGCTGTTGGGGAAAATATCCTATTGAGGTTTGTGAAATTGCATGATTAAAGTGATCTCATGCATAAAATCTTATTTAATCCTTCCTTGTTGAAAATAGCACAACGATTCCTACTTCTGGAATGACTCACGGATGAGTTTTGGATGGACTTGGGGTCCCTTATAAAGGCCACTGGATTGTCCGGGTTATTCACTGGCCTCCAGGTATCTCCTTCGTTCCCAACTTGAAGCGGACACAGTATTAGGTCTATTCTGCAATCTCTTTGTTTCTCTTGTCGTACCATTTGCTTCCATCTCAGGGGCAAGCATTGCATTATTAGTTTTGTTGCTTGATTTGCTTGGTTAATTATTTCCCCTGATAGTTTGGCTGGCTGGTTTTTAAGTGTGCAGGGTTGATGTACAGTTAGCTGTATGTTGTAAAAACAAGATACTGTGATAGATTTTTTATAAACCGCATCCTTGTGATCGAATATACTATCTGACATTTCCGTTGTTTCAAATGTAACAATTGCTCTTGCTTTAAAATAGTTAAAAAATAGATATCTAGCCTTACTAATATTTGTAGTAATTGATGGAATTACTGTAAGTGATGTATCAACTGAACAAAATGCAATTCCCATTCCAACTGAGATAACATTCCTTTAGGTTTTGGGTAATTTGTGAAGGCTAATTTATTGGGTACAAGTTTAGGATTCCAGGTGTATTAAACAGCTTAGTAATGGAGATCTTACATTTAGCACATTTGAGGTTAACCATGGTTGGATCTTCTGGCACTAAAGGGCATAAAGATTGCTTTGGATCAACAGTCATTTGAGTTTGACAAACAGTTGATTTTTCTCTTCTTCTCACAGGGTTCAATTGTCATTAAATTTAGAGAGATGCTGTTATTATTTTTATGATCTATGATTGAAGCCTTCTTTGATTTCTTGCTTAACTTCTTATAGTATCCTTCTTTCTCTTCCTTTCTGTTGTTATTAGGTGCATCCATAATATTAAACAGTCTGTTAAATTTTAACTTTCCAGCCAGTTTACTTGTTTTATAGTTCTTTATATTTTTACTTTTTTTCTTCAGCTGTCCTTGTTTCGATTTAAACTTTTTAAATAATTTCTTTGTATCGGAATCATTTGAGTTCGAATTTTCTTTCCTGGAACTCAATGGTTTACTTGTTAGCTTTGGGCATTGTAAAAGGTTATTTCTTTGCTCTGACCCTTTTAAGTGTGTCACGTTTCTCCACTTTTACCATTTGTTGGACCAATTTAGTGAGAGTAAACAGAAGGTCCTTACACTCAGTTAAAAAGTTTTTAATTAA